GGTACCAGGAAGTACCTGTCGATAAAAGATAAGCAGCCCTCCAGGATGCCAATGTTATTACTCTAGTAATGGCCTAAAATCATTTTCTGCCCTCGTCAGGAAACAATGCAAGTATTTACTCTCCCTCGGAGTTTTATCCTTGGGCAGAACTGGCCTCTCTCTCTATTTCCCAGGCACGCTCAGGCTGACTAGTAGGAGCCACTGTGGCCACTAGCACCCATCCAGTATTTTTTTTGCTGCTGCTGGAGCGGGCCGGGGCTGTAACGCAGGCTATTTTTTACCCCTAAGGAGTCTTATCAATACACTGATTGCTTCTCCAAGTGTTACACTGTGTCACTAGTCCCTGACCTTCTCCAGACAGAGTTGTTAATAGCTATGTCTAGGCAGGGAGCAATTTTTCCTCCTCATGCGGGTGTTTAACCTTTTTAGTTTCCTTCTTGCTGCAAGTGAACACAATCTCAGCGTCTGCCCAGAGGTTCTCACCACCAGCGGGTCTTCAAAATGGCAATTAATCAGCAAGAAAAAAATGCCAGCAACTTTTTTTTTTTTTTTTGTGAAAGACTATCAACAGGATTTTACTTATTTTCTCCTATTATGCTTTCAGTAAAGGTTCGAACTAGCAAGTTTGTTCAACTCTATCAACTAGAGAGCAGAGAAATGTGTTATTAAACACAACCATGCCCAACGCTGGCATGGCGATGCTGCACCCTCCTGCAGGCATCCCTGGGTGTCTCGGTGAGGGGCAGCATGACATGTCTCCCCCTACCTCCCCGCCAGTGTGAGCAGAGAGGAGAAGCCGTTGATTTAGAAAGAGGTTGAGTAGAAGGACTCTTGCTACTCAGCAGCAATCGCCCAGGGAAGCCGCATAATTGCAGGTTGGGCCAGGCGCAGGCACCAGCGTCACCTTGGAGACCAGCTGGTAAACTCCAGGCCTTCCCAAAAAGGGAGGGGGGCAAGGCAGCCGGGTGCGTAAACAAGAAAAACGAGATGGACAAGGAAGCTTTGCAGTGAAACCACAGCCCTGCATCCCCTCCACTTGCCACCTGAGCCCAGTGAGAGCTGGGGAGCAGGGAGGCAGGTGGGGCGCGACGCCGTCCCAGCCCCTGACACCTCCCAGCTCCTGGGTGGAAACCCCAGGTGCAGGATAGCATTGCAGGTAAAGAATTTTCTCTCTTGTTTGCTAGCTTGCAGTGAGCTCTCCAATCAGTTGAGCTTGCGATTCAACCAAAAGAAGGTTTTTTGATACACATATATCATTATATAGATATTTTGCAAAATACTTATATATACATTGTATATACACATGTATATCTCTCTATATATGCACAATGGCAAAAGCAGTAATACCTCACCTACTAGAAGATGGGAGCTGGACAAGGCTGGGGATGGTGGAGCAGCGGAGGGGAGGCTGCTACACAGAGGTCAGTAGGGCTGGGAAGCCAGATTTTTGAGGAGGTCTTTAGATGGTTGCCACATACTCACACAGCTTTCTTGCTCTTAGTAATTTAGTGAAATTGTTAGGAATAAACCAAATTCAGGCCACTTAATCTTACATTTAATTCCTAGACTCTACGATCTTCTGCTTGGGGGGATGTAACTGAGGCATTGGGCCAGGACAAGGGCTTTCAGGAGTCTGTCATAGTCCAGAGGCTGGAATGGGTTTCTGCCTGCCACAGTGGGTTTTTTTTCATTATTTTCGCAGGAGGCTCTTGGTCTCAGTTGAAGGATAATGTATAAGCGAATGGTGCTGAGCTTAGATTAAATCTGACTCTTTCCAGGTTTAAACCTCAGGCTTAGAGGGACGTAAAGGGATCTGGTTGCTGAGCAACCTAAGGTTCTTTCTTAGGGAAAAACTCAAAACAAAATTTCAGGTTTTTTATTTGTTAAGAAGAAATACAATCACTTCTATTCAGTCTGCACGACACAACATTGCCCATAGAAACAAACAATGCTGTGAACGTGGGGTATTTTAATTGCTCATAACCCAGGCTGTTATGCAAAACAAAACTCTAGAATTCAGAACTAAATTAACCAACCCCTTTTTCATTTCACCGTGGGAGACATCTGATGATCTTGAAAGAGATATAAGAATTAAAAACATGCAGAATTGTGGTGATGACCTTTTCTTTTTTTTTTTTTTATTAATCATTATTAATACGTAACACTTTTGTAAGGTATGCAGAGAACTGTTATATTCAGCAAATCACGACTGTATCTTTAATTACTTCACATTATCCAGAAAGAGGCAAGAGCAAAATGAAAGGAAAGGAGAGAACATGTGAATTGCTGGGTTTTCTTCCATCCTTACTCTGATTCAGAATCTGTTCACTTACAATGCAGTTTATAGACTTTTAACAGCCTAGGAAGGGTTTACCTCTGGCTTAAATCAGCAACTGACAGAAATAGGAAAAGGTAGTCATGTTACTATGGACCAGGCTGTCATGTAGTAGGGTTTATATTTAACTTTTTGTGTCTATTGAATGTATACAAAGGATTCTCAAATGCATACAGCTGTGTAACACAGGAAGCCAGGTCATGTTTAAGAGGCTTTCGTGTAATGTGTAAGTGCAGCCATTTTACAGACTTTAACTGCCGAGTTTTGTACAACAATGTGGTTGGTGATTTTGTTGTTGAGCATTACAAAGAAAGAATATGCAAAGAGCAGCAGAAGTATTTACTGTTAGTATTTTTAACCATGATACAAGGGGGAAAAAATGTGAATATCTCTGCCTATGGCGTTATTGAGATTATTAAGTGCTCTGTCCCACTTCAAAAGGAACACTGGAAAAAAATGGAAAAGTTCAGGAACAACAGCAGAATTACATAGCATCTGGAAACTTGTTTTGTAGCAAGAGTCCTAAGCTCTAATTACTTAGCCAAAGAGCGTTTAAAAGGGACCTTCAAGTGTTTGCATCATCTGGACAAATTTTTAGTACGTAGCTCTTTAATCCAGCAAAAGAAAGTAAAACAGCGTCTAATGGTGGAAGAAATTCAAACTAGAAACAAAGAACATGTTTTAAAAAGAAAATTATTTAATACTGGAACAACTTAGCCTAGAGATGGTGAGTTCTCAGCTAGAAGATGTAAAGATGAAAATGCTTGTAGATGTAAAAGCAAACTTTGTACTTACTGCAGAGATAACTAAGGATTGGCCAGTTTCGGTGGCTTTTATTGAGGTACAGGAGATCATAATATATATCATATCAGATGATCCCTGTCTAGCCGCAATTCATGAATCTCGCTACAACGATTATTTGACACGCGTTGCAGTGTATTGGAAATGCCTCCATTGAACCCAAGGCAAAGAGCTACCACACTCTTGTCATGGTGTGTCTTCCTATAGATTTTTGCAGTGTGTGATGGAGATGAATTATGTCATCATTGATCTCAGTATTTATAGATCTATGTCAGTACCTAGCACAGTACAGAGGCATACTGCACAGTGCTATGCATACGTTATGCATGTGCATTATATGTATATAAGCTGTAGTATGTAATTATATAGTGTAAATATAGTTTGTACTGTGTTTATGTAACTCCACTGTATTTTATGTTCTTGCCAGCTAAACATCTCCCATTAAGGACAGGTCATTGTTTGCAGGAAACATTTTTGACTGCTGATCTCACATAGCTGTAAGGTCTTTCTGGTCATTCATTAATGAGTTCCCAGAAGATCTTTGCTTATTCTGCCTGAAGAGAAAGCTGAAATGGTCTCTTTTCTACCACAGTAGACTTCTACAATAAGCTAGTACTGAAACCATTTGAGGGGAACAAAACTGTTCTATTTTTCTGTTTTTCCAAGCCCAGCTGGTGTTGTCTGAAGGGGTTGCAAAAGTCAGCATGCGTGACATTACCAGCTGCCATAGTCAAGGTGCTGTAGACAGGAGTGGGTAGTTAAGATGAAACAGTTTCGTTCCATGTTTCTCAGTAGTTTTCTCCGACTGTTTCAATTCACACTTCTACACATGCAATGACAGCAAGATTGGAAGTGCGACGTGCACTGACGATGCATTGCGGGGCCACCCATCTTCGTCATCTTCCCATCCCAGAGCACCCTCGGCAGAGCACCCAGTGCCCTCCGAGTCGAGAGCTCTGCTGTAACTCCCCCAAGCTCTTCTGTGACTCTTTCATGCACTGGTCCTGTGATGCTTTAAAGGCTGGAAAATATTTTGGGGGCCTTCATGATCTGCAGACCCAGCAGCCAGGCTAGAGAGCAACAGTCCTGGCCCTGAGCATGTGCCCAGGGGCCAGGATTCAATGTGCCTCTAAAACATCAGTATAGGCGTGGGCAGCCCTGGGGCTCTAAGCACTAGGCACAAATACTCCCATGGGAGAAAGAGAGACCCTCTGCCTGCCCGGGCATGCTGCTCTGGGTGGTGCTGCTGCAGTGCTGCAAGTTTACAGGCTGTTGTCCCACTTTTAAATCCATGGTCTTCCTCTGAGGGAAGCTCTAAGGCTTGTGTGACTGTTGGCAAAGTCCTGAAATCCTGGACTGCTGAACTCTGTGCAAGTTTAAGGTATTAATTTGTTCTGCAGTTGTGTTAAAATAGCGCGAGGTGTCATCTGTAGGTGAGATCGGGTCTCGAGGTGATCGCTGCTGTTCAGATGTGCAGTGAGAGAAAGCCCTGCTCTGGAGAATTAGGACTACAGTGGAACAAAAGCAAATGTAAGGAAAAGGTCCTCACCCAGGACAACTTTTGCTGTCACAGCCCTACCTGTACGCAAATGCTCACTGCAAACCTGGCCAGGCTGAGACTCAGTGGAGCTGCTCTCCTGGTGGCATCCACTGGTTTTTACTGTGTTCGTACAATGTAGGCAGCAAATTCTTACCCACACTTTCATATTTGCATCTTGGTTAATCACAGGGTGGTTGACTGAACCTTCCTTTCAGGGTTGGTGGCCCATATTGGCAATTTCCCCTTCTGACAGAAAGATATAAGGAAAAGAAAACAGAGCATCAAAATGGGTCCTCATGAGACAGTTGCCAGCACCTTGCAAATGAAGGATTTGGGATACTCCATATACTAAGGCAGGGTTCAGCACTCTGCCTTGTATATGTGAATCCATGCTGTAAGAGCACTTTGGTCTTCCAGATGCCAGGCACAGCAAGGCATGACCGAGAGATGGCAATCCAGGCCAAAAGAAACTTGTCTAAAACCACCGACCCTGTAGAAAGACTTCGCCTGCAGTGTTTAGCAAGGGGATCTGCAGGCATCAAAGGACTTGGCAGGTGAGTCTGATAATTCAAATCCATTATTCAGCCTAATAATTTCAGCTGCAGGAGGCTCACAGGCTGAGCAGGGACCAAAACTTGGCTTTCCCGGTTCCAGTGCAAATGCCACAATCCGTAGAGCCTGGGCTTGGGGCTCCTGTATTTTGGGAGACAGGACTGACCTGCTTACCTGTTGAAGGACTGAGCTTCGTGCATCCCTCAGAGGAAGGTGCTTCCTCGAGACCTGGAACAAATCCTGCCAGGGAGAGAGGGGAACGTAAAACATATCTCTCTCTGTGGTATTTTCTATAATTAACTGAAGTATCTCGATACTAAGGATTTTGTACTTCCTTTCCTTTGGAGTGTGATTCCCTTGTGTGTAATGGTCTATTAGCTCTCTAGTTTATGGGAGATGTCTACACTCCTTGGTAGTCACCCTGAGAGTGTGGGTCACCCCAGAACTAGGAAAGGGGAGCTGCATCACACCCTGAAACTCATCCCGGGCCCCATAAACTGCAGAAGGATCTTAGGTGACCAGCTGGAACTTCACCTACATGCCCAACTTTCAGGTGGCTCAATGTGTAATGAATAGGAAGACTCCTTCAGCTAAGGCAGACTTCACCTCATCTAATGTCAGCTGTGTAATATTCGGGCACTCAATCTAAGCAAGTCATCTCTGCTATCGATAAGTATGGGGGTGGGGTTTTTTTTTTGTTTTTTTTTTTTTTCCTCTGTCTTTTGCGTTTTTCTCAGAGGATTGTACAAGGGCAAAATGTTATCTCAGTAAGATATCCCTGTGCTCTGGCATTGTGATAAACCACTGCAGCATTCTTGCAGTTTTCGTATGTGTTCTCCTTATATTGCACATTTTCCACAGAGTATTTCGGATTATGGATGATGACAACAGCAGGACCCTTGATTTCAAAGAGTTTGTGAAGGGATTAAATGATTATGCTATGATGATAGACAAGGAAGAAGCACAAGAGATTTTCCGGATATTTGATAAAGATGGCAGTGGAACAATTGATTTTGATGAATTTCTTGTTACACTGAGAGTAAGTCTGGGCATTTATGTTATTACTGCATTATATGGAGGAAAAGCCTTGATTTGTCATTAGCTGAACACAAAACACACTTTTTTTCACCTTAATAATTAGCAATATCTACAGCTCTATTTAAAAAGTCAGTAACTCTTGAGAAGTTAAAATATTCTATTTCCATCTAAATATGCTAAAGGAGAAAATCACCCTAAACAACACCTCTGTAGATGAGAGAGCTCAGATGCCAACACGTCTCTGCAGTTTTTGGCAAGGCGTAAGACTTCTCACAATTAGAATTGAATCGAATCGAATCGAATAGAATAGAATATTGCAATTAAATGGTTGTGACTTTTCTTTTATGAATGGCTGCCTTGATTTAGGTACCTAAATTCCTGTATTGCGGTCTTGAGTACCTGTGTGGTTCAGCCCATTAATCTCACTTCTTTATCTGTCATTTTAGGATGCATCTCATTTTAGCCTGAACTGACCCAGTGGTGGCTTTCTCTAATCAACCACGGTGTGACTGGTTTTGGTTGGAGTGTCTTTGCTCTGCTGAACTCTAAATAACTAAGAAAGAAAATAGTTAGTTCTTAGAGTAATTAGTAGTTTCTTGTTAGAAATTGGGGTAGAGTAGAAAAGTATTCTAGGTAGCATTTTCTTTCTTATTGTCCGTTTACTGTACTATTGATAGACACTGAATGGTCTCCATCACACTGCTTTTTTGATGATATATTGTCCTTCCAACTCATAGACTGTCAGCGGTTTGTTGTCCCTAGTGCCTTGAAATACATTTACTATTAACAACAGGAGTTACTTGAATTTGGAACTGTGCAAGTAGTTGGCAGAAATAAAATTATTCTGTTAATATTTCTTTACAGCCTCCCATGTCGAATGCAAGGAAAGAGATCATCATGCAGGCATTTAGGAAGTTAGATAAGACTGGGGATGGCGTCATAACAATTGAAGACTTACGGGGGGTGTATAATGCAAAGCATCACCCCAAATACCAAAATGGAGACTGGACAGAAGATCAAGTTTTTAGGGCCTTTCTGGATAATTTTGATTCACCCTATGACAAAGATGGGAAGGTAAGTGAAACACCTAATGTCGAGCCAGGAAATCACTGTCTGACTCAGCATTTGACTTGAATTATTAAATGTGAGAGTGTTTGCAGTACCAAACATGCATTTGCATCACGTTTGTGGAGGACAGTAAAATGGATGCATAGTTTCTCTGTAGGGCTGTTGGTGCAGCTTGCTTACATGTTTAGAAGTAAAGTGGCTCTGCAGGAGGTGCAAGGATAGATGTGAGATTGCATTTACAGGCTTGTAGCCTTAATGCCCTAATTTCATAGGTTACTCTAAGTATGTCTTCAGACTAACGTGCACGATTGCTGATTTTCAGGATCCTCACAAGCTGGAGGATTTTTCACTTCTTAGGAGAATAAATACCAGGATCCAGTTCAAAAGCAGGTTCCCTAATATGTGAAATGCTTTACAGTTAGTGCTTCTCCAGTGTGTGCAATTACTGAGACACCTGACTTGGAAATCAGTCCATAATAGAGATAGATTTATCCACAGAGAGTTGGAGGGCAGGTGGGGCTGGGGGAGGCTACCACTAGCTATGTGCCCAGAGGAGCCACGAGCTGGGGCAGGGCTGGGAGCCCTTTCTGGCCTCCACCTCGACTCTCTGGGGCAGATGCAAAGCCTGGGCACCTTCTGTGATAGACTTCTTATGCACCTGCTTTGTAAACTGATCCAAGCATGCTTTGTTTCCCCTTGCTATGGGTCTGCAAACTTCTTTCTTTGATCTGAACTTACACGTGCCTGACCAGCTCAGAGCAATTGAGGATCTCTGCTGTTCACATGGTGATATTCTCAGTCCAAGCTGTTTGTAATAACAAACTAGATAAGGTTTCATCAGTGCTTTGTGGAATATCTTTAACACTTTGCACTTCTGAGATTGCATCTGGGTTTTCATGGGTGCTCCACACTGGTGGCTCCTACCTGTCTAATGGCTGGCGACTACACCCAAATCCTCCACTTGCTTTGTTTCTAACAGGCAGACTTTCTGTTTGTCGGAAGGTGATGGTATTTAGCTCCCTTGGCCATGACTTTGCACTTGATAGAGCTGAATTTTCATCTCTTTTTCTGTTGCGTCATCCTCAGAGGTACCAGTTGTGTGAAGTGTCCCCTGCCTTGTCTGCAGCAGTGGGGACGTCTAGCAAACCTCAAGCAAAAGGTTTCTGCTTTTTGTGCTGAGGTCGTACTTGAATACATTAAATGAGTTCCCAGAATGATCCTTGACAAGTTCAGTGCCTTGTACCTCATAAATGCTGCAGTGTTTGAGCTTATGGAAAAGTTACTCTGAGCACCCACCTCTTGTTGAGCAAATCTGACATTCACCCACTCGATTGCGGTTTCTTAAGAGAACTCGCTGTGACTTTCCTGTGCCTGAATCAGAGGTCACTAATGACACTGGTATGAACCGAACACCTAAAATGTTTTCACCGACAGTGTCTCAAGGCTAAGCATCTGCTAGAAAGATCCTCTTCACTGCGGTCTTGCCAGTTGCCTCTGAAATAGGCAGGGTCAGCGAAGCTTGTAATCGGTTCCTGATGTTAGGAGAGTCTACAGTTTTCACTTGTCCCCATTGTCACATTTCAATTAGCTCTCAAATGCACAATGCAGTAGGGGCAACTATTTTTCTATATGATGTTTATTCAAAGAATGCCCTTCACCGTTCAAGAGTTAAGGCGTCACAAGAGACATGCACTGTTTGTAGCTGCTAATCTGATTTTTTTTTTTTTAATCGTCATTTTAAAACCGAGTCAACCTCGAAATACCCATGAAAAATATTAAAAACTCTTAGGTATTTGAAAGAATGTTTGCTTCTTTAAGTGTTTAGAGCAATGATATTTTCTCTCTAGTGAATGGGTATAAAGCTCCCAACTATCTGTGGGTTGCATCAGAAACCACATCAACTTTTACTAGTAACAATACAAAGAACCAGATTAGAGCATTCCTGGAAAAAAAAAATCCATTAAAGCATTTGTCTTCTTGGGCAGCGACTTCAGTTCCTGGTAAGGTTAGTTTAACTCCATGTTTCATTTCCATCCAAGTGTTCCTGGAGGACAAGAGCTCTTATTTCTAGCAAAGAATTGTATTTATGCAAATTTTCAGTGTTTTCATTCTCCCTGTTGGATTCCTTTTCACTAACAACAACGTGAAATAGCAGGTGTAAGTTGTTCTCGATGTGTGGTTTTGACTTATAGCACTAAAAAATATAAAGATTCATTTTCCTATTTTAAATCCTTCTGTCTCAGGTCACAACAGAAGAATTCATGAACTACTATGCAGGAGTGAGCGCTTCCATAGACACAGATGTCTATTTTATCATCATGATGAAGAATGCTTGGAAACTCTGATCATGTGATTAAAGGAGCAAGACTTCCACCTTTTGTAGGTTCCCATCATTAAGTGTATGCACAACAACATGCTCATTTTTCATAATAATAGCTTCCAGTAACTGTACTAGTTACAGTCAATCCGCAGAAATAATTCCCAAATGCTTCACTAGGCTCAGCCTCTTGGGATCAGAGCATAATCAGAGAGCAGATCTGGCATCCATCCACTCCACAGATCTATCCCTTTTCTCCCTGCATCCCTGACATGTCTTTTCTGAGATGAGCTGTTCCTTTCTTCTCAGACATCCGCAGTAGGTCCCTGTGGCTTCTGAATGCATCCCCTCCTCCAGTGTTAGACACAGCTCTATTCGACAAAGGATGCAAGAGGAGGAAACGAAAATGTTCTGGCAGGGTGGTGTCTGGGACAGACTGTTCTAAACTTGAGGAAGCTGGTCCCAGGAGGGTCATGTAGCCCTCTTGCCTGTAGCACTGCACTGTCTCTTGATTTCTTGGGTCTCACTTGTGCAATGGACCAACTGCTCAGCTCACTGCTGGGAACAAGTGAGTTCCCAATACCAGAGGGCTGAAGGGAAAAACAAATCACGCAGGAGAGACACAGAGCAGAATAAATGTTAAGTGCTCTTTAAGGCCCTGTTTTCTCCCCGGCTTTCAACTCAGCACACAGGCATCTTTCCTGTGCGTGCCTTGTTTCAAACCTCTGTGGGCCTGCTTATAGCTTTTTTCCCCACTTTGATTTCTTTCTTTTTGAACTGTGAGATCATTTCTCTAATATTTTTCTTTAAAGGGTGTACATATCTTACAGTATTTTCTTCTCACTGTTTCTGGAACATTTACTGGTCTGGTAGCTGTTGTCTGTATAGACCTACACTGAAAGTTGCCTACTACTTTTTGTGTTTATACTGGTTAATGCCAAACTATGACTTCAGGGAACTTTCTGGGTATTCAAGAATTTGTGACTTTCTTGTCTCATCATCTTATGTTTCTGATGCTGAAAAAAGGATGGGAACCTGCCCTCCTGGTCACACTAATGAGGCTGTCTCAGTTCTGAGGTCTTCTGTCCTTTTCCCATACAGACAGTGGGAAAACGGTGCACAAAGGAAACTATTAAAAAAAAAAAAAAGAAAGAAAAAAAAGAAAAAAAGAAAAAAGAAAGAAAAAAGAAAAAAAGAAAAGGAAAAAAAAAGAAAAGAAGGAGAGTGGTGGTCCTGTCTAATTATTCCTGCCTTGATTCCTTTGCCTTTTTTCATCTTCTTTCTGCTTCTCCCACATCATTGTGCTGTTCTCCCAGACTGAGATGCTGCTGCTGTAGCAAAGAGTAAATGGCTCGTGTATGGCACCATTCGCTTCATTTCAGGCTGGCAGACAGCTAAAAGCAATACAGGCTTATGGACTGGACTTTCAAAAGGTCTTGAATGATGAAGCCTCAGCTCTTACTTAGCCTGGGCTGCTAACTGCTCAAACACTGAAGTCCTGGGTGCTTGCTGCTTTGGTCCTGTGCAAACTCTGTTTTTGTTTTGTCCAGTCATGACCTCAGTACGAAAAAAATCTGCTTGCAATTCCTGAGTAAAGATTGTGCAAACTTAAATATTTTCTTTGGTCTGTAAGCCTACAGAAACTTGCTTGCTGACCGACACTGGAAAGTGGTTGAGTCTCTTCACGATTGCCGTCGATCATAAGAGAAGCCTTTACTTACTGCAATGCTACTGAAGTGCCAACATACCGTATATGAAAAACAAACTTAATATTCAATAGATGCTGTACATGTCCTGACAGCTTGAGTAGAATCCCTCTATTTCTCATTTATTGTCTCTGAAGCAGGGTGTCATGTTATCTGTCTTCTATGTTTCAAATAAAGAGAAAATAATGTGAATGGACTGGGAATCACAAAATGAAAAAACTGTTTCCTCCTGGCATGCTATCTCATGTCTTCAGACCCCACAGCGATCTGTTGTGCTGATGTCTAATCAAGTGCAGTGAAAGTTTTAATCTGAATAACTGCAACCAGTTTGTCTTTTCAGTGCTAGTACTTCCTGATTTTACTTAATCCTGAGTGTGATATAGCTTTTCAGAAGGGAGAATTGGTACTGAAAGCAACTATGCTTTTTTTTTTAAACCAGTGGAAGCTTTGTCACCAGCATCCAGGCGCCCGTGACGGCCGGGGAAGGCTTAGTGCTCCAGAGTGAGATTTCTGCACTGAGCTCGACTAACGAGCCCCAACTCATGCCCCCACCTCCATGGTGCCCTCAGAGCAGCTCCTGGCTCCTTGGGTCTGCCTGCGTGCAGATCTCATCGCTCGCTGAATATGTTTCTTATCATCAAGAGGACATTTTTCACAAGGAAGTAATTTTGAAATTTATACAGAGCGTGTTTCCAAGGGCTGGTTTCAGATTCCTTCGAAGTCGGTGGCAAAGTTTCCTTTCACTTCTGCGGGAACAGAATTGCTCCTGGGGCAACCTGAGCCCAAACTGGTAGCTGCAGAAAAAGGTATAGCACTTTCAGGAAAAATAAAATCTGCGAAAGAATAACACGTGATTTTTCACTTGTAATCAGGTGCCGTATAACACAAATTGGAATCGGTGCAAGAAATGTCATTTGATTAACAAGTGTGCAAATTCATCGAACAAACATAGGTATTTTGTTTATATACTAGGTATATCTACTAGGAGATGTGCAGCCATAATGACACACTGGGACACCTACACCTGAGATTCAGTGGAAGCACTCTGCAGAGGTTAAAGTCAAGTTAAAAGGATTTGAATCAGATGTGAAAGAATGTCAGGAAGGTGCCCAGAGCCGCCCTGTAGCACTTCACTGTCCTTGTCTGCTGAAGCTGCTGCGCTGTGGTCTGGGAGAGCCAAAAATGGAGCTGAAGTGCTTGTGTTCAGCTGCAGGCTGCTGAGTGCTGGTTACAGACCCAGCAGATGCTGGAGATAGATGGTGATGCAGGCTGTCCTGCCAGTCTGTGGTTGCACAGCACACACGGCAGATACTTGGAGATAGGTGGCAATGCGCGTGATCATATCTGGTTCTAGCATCAAGATTGTCAGATCTTGGTCGGTGCTTCATGTTCGAAGCCCTATTTCTTCTTTCTGATTGTGCAACAGATGCTAAACAGGATGGCATAAACCATAGGAACATCTGAGTCTGCAGGGCTGTGGGCCAACACCAGAGGCAAAGGTTTCGCCTCCACCTTGAGCTCCAGCCTGCCCCGTGGCTCACCGCCTTGCCAGGGCTGAGCCCTGAGCTGCTGGCGAGGCAGCATCAGGAGTGCGCTCCAAAAATGCTCGTGAAGCCCAATGGTCTCCCACAGGGAGAAAAGGCTCGCTTGTACCTCCCCCAAACTCTGCTCTGATCTCTACTTGAACCATCAGAACATCTCTGTGACCCCCTCCCAAAAGCACAAGGCATGACGGTGGAGAGGCAGGAGACAACCTCTCCCTCCAGCATGTTCCCTGGGGAAAGGTGGCCCTCCTGCAGCATCCTTTGCTGCATTTCAGCTTTACTGCTTGTGTGCTTTTGTGGTTTCGTGTTTTTGTCCTGGAGGGGAAATTTTTGGCTCGATGCAGCCCAGAACTGTTGTTTAGCTCCTGTTCTCTCCCGCAGCAAATGAGTTTTAATGCAAGCCCCACTCACTGGCATGTATTCTTGAAATTAGACCACAAGGTATATTCACTGATCTGATTCATTTTGTTGGTCTCCTGGCTCAAAGCTGTCTCGGCAGGGGCGGATGGAAGCAGCTGAGGTTTTTGCAGATGAAACCACCTGCACACGTTGCTGTGCGAAAGCCGGCTTGCCTTTATGTAACAGGTTTTACACTGTACTGCCTCAAACCTCTGCAGCCACATGTGCAGAGAAGAGCTTTGCCATCCCAGAGCCAGGCTCCCAGCCTCCCCCATCACCGGATGGCAGAAGGAGCGAGCCTGGCGGTTTTGGTTATTTTTGCCTCCCAGCTCCTGTCCTCTATGCCAAGAGCAGCAGCAGCAGCATGCTCAGCTTTCCCTGGTAAAACAAATAATGTCAAGAGCAACGTGCCACCGTCAGCAGCTGCCCATTTTCTATGACTTTCACTATGATTATAGCCTGTCCTGTTTCTCTAGAATTCTTTTCTCATAGCCAGCTCAGGAGGATGAGCAGAAAGCGGGGTTCCTAGTGGGCTACACTCAATGCCAAGTCCTCAGGTGGCTGAGAGCAGCCTTGATATTTGAAGCAGCCCCCAGCCATAATAGTTTGTCCCAGCTGAGTTTGGAGTCTCTGGTTTCAAAGCAAGCATTGTTTTTGGCTCCAGCACCTCTTCACCTCTCATGCCAACAGAGGCTGCGGGAGGTGGGAGCGCTCTAGGGTGCAAAACCTTCAGCTTGCTGGATTGCAGCCAACCCCGGGTACGCCAGCCCCCTCTGCCAAAACCTGGACCCAGGCTTCCTCCCAGACTACAACGTTGCCGTCCATCCCAGCGGGAGCTGCAGCTGGAGAATGGGGATGGGATCCAGACTTTGTTGAACGTCTTGGCAAGTAGGAATAGTGAGAAAAAAAGGAAGTGTGATGTTTTGCGAAAGTTAACTCAAGCCTGGTATTCTGTGGAAAAGCAGAGATTGTGGTAAAATGCGAGCAATGTTTATTTTCCAGAGATAAATCTGTTCTTTTTTAATTGAAAACATGATATTTTTGTCGAAAGCTGCAATTTTTTTTTTTTTTTATTTTGGTGCTTTAGCATTCAAAATCTACTGTTTTGGTTTTTTTTGGTTGTGTTTTTTTTTGTTTGGTTGGTTGTTTGGTTGTTTTTTTTTAAGTTTATGTGCATTTTCTGGAAAAAAACCCAGCAGATTGCTTTAGAGAAGCTCTGATTTTGTGGCATAGATTTATTCCTTTAGACTTTTCCACCAATGCCTTTCATCTTTCTTCCTTGCTTTTTTATTGCTTGGCTAACCCTTGGGGATTTTTACATCATTTGGTAATGTTGGACTAATCTAATTTCATTGTGACAATTAAGTTATACAGTCAATAATGACCAATAACCAG